GTCTTTCGCTTATTAAAATAACTAACCTGACAGCAAGGCTTTCTACCATGTCACAGAACCGGGACAAGAGTGAGGCACTTGCCTCAAGTGAATTGCTAATAGGCTCAGCAATTTAGCTGCGAAATTTTAGAGATACGTTTTAAAATAAATTATGATCGTTAGAATTCAATTTTAAAACGTATGGAGATGACCGTTTTATAATAGCACATTTAAAAGGGGGGGGTGCCACGAACATCATCACTTGCGAACAAGTGTTTTTTTTTTTTAATCGATTAACCAAATCAAATCAAAAATTAAGTGTTAACGATTAAATATTTAAAGAGAAACAGAAAAATCATTATAATGTATTTTATGTAATTTTCAGCTCGTTATTTTTACTTTATACAAATTTCAAACAGTAATAAGGCATCCAGCATAAGCAAATCAATTTACACTTTCACATATGTCTTTGTGGAATATAATGATGAAAAAGTAAACGAGGTAAATAAAGCTATAAAAATTGCCTGCTGAACAGAGAGACTGCGGTTTAATTCAGTCACTTCTAAATTATTTTTAGCGTTGCCAGTTACGCCAGTTAAGGTTACGGAGAACGAAGCTGAAAAATACTGAAATTTAAAAAAAAAATGTGCGAAATTTTCTCTTAGCTCCCAAAAATGTCAAATATCGCTGTATAGAACATAAATTAAATAATCAAGTAGATTTTGTAAAAACGTATTGTCCATTTTATTTCATTAAAAGCGAAAAACATTAAATCACCAAAAAGGCTTGAATATTAATGCAGCACCTTTTTATATTAATTGTAGTATACTATTCATATTACTTGAGTGTTATTTGTTATTTAGTAAAAAAGGTAGTTTTTAATGTTTGTTTTCAAAAATTGTAAATTATTACATGTATTAATTTTCCGAATGCGTAAAATCATGATTTCATAATATTCTAGAAGTTATGGTAAGATATCGTTACCTTTGTTGAGCATAGAAGTACACAGTTGCAGTTAATTTGAGTGTGCATAGGGGCGCACATTCACCTCTTTCCCTCAAGAGAAAAAATGCCTGGGCGCGGTTTTACCACGCGGTACGCGACTCTGACTTTTCAAAATTATGCAAGTCGGTCGGTGCCTTCAAAATTTTGGTGGTCCTTAATTCTGTGCAGCCACCAATCTCAATCCTTGTGGTAGCTCTAGCATCGGCCCTTCTTAAAAAATATATACCTTAAACTCATAAAGATATTACGACATTATAAATTAGCTGATAACGAAAGTACACTGCGGAAAAAAAAGTAACAGTTTTATGTCTCGCGTTCTACAGAGCCGATTGATGAAATTCAACTTGCGTTTTTCATGTCTCGAAAGCGCGACTTGCGATATGTATTAGATTTATACATAGTAGTGTTCTAATGTAGGTATTTCGACACAAAATCAGACTTTTTCTGTAATGATATGCCAATTTTTTTCCATATGTCGATTCTACGACTCAAATTACGCCAAACTGCAAAGTTTTGTAAAAATCACTCGAGCAGTTTTTAGAAAATTAACTCTCAAATGTTCCTCAATGTTAATTGAGTTTGGTATATATTTATAAACATCTCTCTTTTTTTTTATTAAACTTATTTGATTCTTCCTTTCACATTTCGAAATTTAGGTTGTAAGGAATATGTTAATTTTATTAAAAGTTAAATTTTAAGTTAAAGTTCCTTTCCTGTCAAATTCTTAACTTCAACTTACTACTTCCGGCCAGAACGTAGTTTTGGAATCTTTCTGAATATTTAACGAAAAGGAGCGGTATTTAAACCGCGAAGTTACTTACAGAGGGAGAGAGAATCAGAGTTTCTGATTTGCGCGCGTCTGCCGTTTGGCTACGCTCTCTCTCAAAGCTGTTATTACGCTCGGCCGTACTCAGGCCCTTGATAAGCTTCGTAGTGAAATAGAATTAAGAGGCCAACTCGTTTAGAATCTTGATAGCTTCAGCTATATTTCTTTAGCTAAATCTTAGTTTTAGTTTAATTTTGAGTCTCTTAAGTTTAGCTCAAGTGTCGCTTTTATTGTACCTACGAGACGAGTTTTGTTTAAATCTTTGGAATAATAAAGGGTTAGTTACACTCCCATCTTGTTTTCTTGTCCAAACAACTTAGCGATTATCGCTAACTAGTTCTCAGGATTCGTCACTTTCTACAGTAACTGAGAATTACACTAATGAAATCTTACAAGGTTCAGTCGAAATAACATTCGCCCATTTTTTGATTTATTTATTTATTTTTTTTTTGTATTTTTAATACTTTTATAATTTTTCGAAAAAGTTTTGAATTATAACCTATAACATGTTTATCATCATCTTAAAGTAGATATATTTCTAAGCATACCAGCAAAAAATTAGGGCTTTTTTATTTAAAATTTTAAAAGATATACTTGAATTGATATATTGGCGCGTTTTGAAATTTGGCATATTTGTTGAAAGCGATAATAACATCAAATGTGGTTTAGGCACTTTGATTAAATTAATTCAAAATTAATTGAAAGTAAAAACGATGTCACTTTTTCCCCGCTCATTCACAATGTAAAAAGATAAGAGCGATGTTACGTTTTCTTTGCAATCCTGCACAACGGAAGGGAAGGGAAAATAGGTTGCCATATATTGAGAAGTTCGTCAAGTTGGCGCCAAGTTAAATTTTTGAATATCTCCGTAAATTTCGCAATAAATTTTATAAAATTTAATATTTAGGCATAATTTGAGTCGTAGAATCGAAATATGAAAATGAAATTGGTATGTTATTTCAGGAAAAAAGTACCATTTTGCGTCAAAATACCTATGTTAGAACAATGCTATATATATATAAATATGATATATATCCTAAGTCGCGCTTTCGAGACATGAAAAACGCAATTTGAATTTCGCCGATCGGCCCAGTAAAACGGAAGATATGGACTCTCCCATCCCCCCCCCCCCCCCGCAGTGTACATTTTCTAGCTAAGTAAATCAAACTGGAGCACATGTATTACTTTTTCCGAAATAGTGGAATACGTGCAGCTTTTGCTTTCTTCGCGAATAACTGAATCCATCAGTCATTTCGTGATCTTACCACCGAGAGCTTTGCCAAGGATGCAATACAAAGAGAAACCGATATTACACCTGCGAGAAAGGGGAAAGGACGCACGCAAACATTTAAACTTTAATTAAGATTCAACTTCGTACCCTAGAGTTCGGATTAGCAATCAATCCCTCCTAACCCTAGACTGTCTAGGGTGATGAGTATATGCTATTCTGGAGAAAACTTATAAGGTATTTCTCCCGCCATCTTAGTATGCTTTCGTGGTGTAACCCCAGTAACTCGGCGCTAGTCGAGAGGTTCGAGTTTCGAGTCCTGGCGAGGGCATTTCTCATTTTTCATCTCTTCTGCTTCAAAATAACCCAATGTCTCTACAGTGGCACCCGAACTAAAAAAAGGTTGTGGATCATGATTCTCCACCACCAGGATTTTTGCGATTGGGTCCCCTAATCCGCATCGCCCTTTAAAAAAGAGAGTATATAAGGTATTTCTACCGCCTTCTTAGCATGCCTTCGTGGTGTAATGGCCAGCATACTCGGCGCGTATTCGATAGGTCCATGGTTCGAGTTCCGGTGAGGGCATTTCTCACTTTTCATGTTTTTCAGCTTAAAAAATAACCTAATGTCTCTACAAACTATTTGGCTCATATTGTTCTACACCGGAAAGATCTCCAGTGCCTCCCACACTCTAGCTTTTTTGAGCTGAAATGGAGATTTTTATTTTTTATGTAAGGATTACAAACAATACATATCCTAATAATTCATATTTCAAAATTCAATTTTGCATGGTAATGAGTCATCACTGAATTTTACATGAATAATACAAATCGCACTATACTATATTTCCAGGTATAATAAAAAATAAATTAGATTAATCCATTATTAATTCATTCTACTGTCAGATAAAAGTTTAAAACAGTACAATTAATGCTGATATAGATAAAACCAGGAATTTCACTTATGTTATGAATCCTGCTATATTTACCCAAAGTTTTAATTTATGTACAGGTTTATTTTCAGTCTCAAGAGAAAAATAGAAAACAATCAGTTCATTTTAATTCGCAGATATAGTTGTATCAACTTTCCGTTACATATTTAATGAAATTTTGGGGAAAATTAAAGCCAGTTTCCCTTAGAAAGTCCTTCATGAAAAAATCCTTTTTTTTAGGCAGGCGTATAGTTTTTGCGGGCTATTCCAAAAATTGAAACAAACTGTCGATTCTATCACTTACCGATACTTAATGTTTAATCTCTGTTGATTCAAAGGCTTATGAAAGACAAGTGTTTTCCAGAGATCTGACTCACATTCACTTACTTGAACCAACTATTTTTCTGCGTTGCACTGTAAAATACAGACTTAAATCACATCAAAAGAAAATTATTCACCTATATTTATCTATATTTATCACCTATATTCATTTATCACCTATATTTATATATATCATCTATATTTATATATCACCTATATTTATCTATCACCTACATTTATTTGTCTAAAATATGTAATTACAAAACTGAATATAAAAACTCTCCCTGTCACTAATTGGTTTACTTGCTGGTAAAAAATATGTTTAATTTTGTTCTCGAGATTTAGTTCTCATTTTTTCAATACTGTAGGCAGCGCTTATACTATTTTCAAATTTTATCTATGTTGTGATGACTACTTTTGAGACAGTATTGTGATTTAATCAAAAGAAATAATCCGTACGCTTGTTTCAGGTGCTCATAAAATTCGCTTAAAAAATATTTTTAGTTCACGGACAGGCAGCCAGCAAAAGTTTCTAGCTGCATGTAATTACTAATAGAAGAAAGCAAAATCCCCGTGACTGAACTCTATATGAACAGATACTATAACATCTCGAAATATGAATTTCTTACCACTCTAAAGAAAAAATTCTAATCATAATTTGGGGCGCTGTCAACTGTTTTCTGACATGATCCTTTTCTTTTTTGATCCAGATTGCTCCGCCGAATGGATTTTACCTTGAGGGGAAAATACCTAGTTAAGTCGCCAGCTGATTTTGTTGAAGAACAAACGGATCTTGAGTTTCAAGACTATGAAAACAAATCTCGAGCATAATGTTGCAACATTTATTTGAATGCGGAGCTGACCGAAATAAGATCAAGATCACGGCTGAATAATTTTCGTACAAAAAACGAAGGTGCTTGTTTAAGGTAATAAACACTTTCTGTTATTCTTTTTAATTATCTAATGCTCTTCCCAATGTCTTATTTTTTAATTTTTTTAAATCTTCATGTAACGAGTATAAAAATACTTAAACATACCAAGTATTTTATTTTAAAATTGAAGTGAAACGCTAGACTGTATCTATGCACCACAGTGATCAAAATAGAACATCATAACTTTTTCTTCTTTTTTTTAAACAACATTAGTAAGTGAAAATGGCATTATAGAAGCAAATGTTTTCTATGAACCTTTTTTACTGCAAATATGTTGTAGGATTATTATGTTAATTAACCAGTTATTTATAATTTTATCTTTACTGTCACTTCTCCTTTCCGTTTCCTTACCAAAATACAAATCAGTTTCAGAGTACTTAAGTCGAGGGTTTTGGACTGTAAAACAGAGCATGTTTCTGCTTCTCGCCGCCACATTGCTAGATTTTGCCAGCTCGGATACGATTGAAATTCTTCGACATTTTATTGTTACCGCGTTGAGAAGTTGTAAGCCAACTTTGTTAAAATCAACTGCGTAGTCTTTGCCTACTAGGCTTAGTTTTAAATTTGAATTTGACTTTAAAAGCTTCATCGTCACAAGTTGTGGTTGTGTTGTTAAGTAGGAGACGTGCATTTACAATAAAATTCTGATTCAATAAAAAGGTGTAACAGATGGCGTAAGTCATTCTTCCAAAAGAGCATCTGCTCTAGATCACGTGATGCGAGATTCACCCTCATATAAACTTTCTTTTTCCTTTTTACAGGTCACATGACACAACGAACTTTAGTTACTTGACTCTTTAGTTACTTGACTTGAACTCTGCGCGCGGGCAATGCAGCTTGTAAAATTTCTCATTTTTTATTCTTTTGTGTGTATTTCTTCATTAATGAATTGGTGTTCGTCATAATTCATTGTCTTAATTATTAGCCCTAAGTTGTTTTAGTTATAGAGAAGAAATTTGTGTTATACAAGTAGTTTAAACCATTTCATGACTCTGTTCCTACCTTAGACCAAGCGATAATTCGCACCAAGTCTATTGGGAGTCTGAAACTAGTTTATGCTACCAAAGAAAGTCAGACTCTAAATCACAGTAAAAAAATCGAAAAAGTACTTTTTTTTCCGTCGATATTAATAATTTATAATTCAATAAAAAAAAACTATGTTTTTATTTGCTTTTGAAAAAATTAAAAAAAGGGCTTAAATCTTTGTATATCTTACCAAGGCCGTTCAGTCAAAATTTATTTATTTATCGAAGAACAACTTATGATAGTTCAAAATGGCCGCGCTTGGTTTTACAAAAATTGTATTCGCTTAATTTGTGTACAGTACATTTGTAAATGGTGAATTTACTGCCGGCTTAATTATGCTTGATAGAAAGGCTGATTTAACGAAACTTATTATTTTAATATCATATTGGGTCAAATAGTATAAAACTACATATTCTTGTAACTAAAACTCAGTTCTAAAGACATTTTATACCCTCAGAGTAAAACTTAAAATTAATTATCAAAGAATTAATTTTCCAGGTCAGGTGGAATGACCACATCAAAAAACTTCAGTAGTTTCATAAATGTTGTCGTAATTCCGTATAAATGCTACATAAACGGTATTTTGAAATATATATTTCAGCTCTTAGTGATATGTGTGAGAAATAATTTCGTAAAGAACGATCTGTTGGATCTCAAATAGGATATATCAATACGGCAGGATAATTAATGGTCGAGTCTACTCAAACAATGTAATCCATTCTTTCTCCTCTTTCCATTTCAAATCAGCCTCGATAAGCATTAAAGAATGTAAATTAAAGAAGATAAGCATTATCAATAGTCTTTAATATGAAAAGTGGCAGTTAAAGATTAATGAAAGAAACTATACTACAACTATAACTATGTAAACTATAACACTATTATTTATAAATGTGCGAACAGCCATTTTTAGACGTTTACTATATGTAAACGTCTAAAAATAGCTGTTCGCACATTTTTAGACGATTTTCATTGTAATTAACAGAAATATTTTACGTAACATTTTTATGTTTTAAATGTTCTAATTGATAACCCTTATTCTTTACTGTCTTTATACACCGTAATTTCCGAGACAAATTAATTTAATTTCCGAGCCTTTTGTATTATCGGAAGAGGTATCCCATTGCTCTTGAACAGTTTTCCAGTCTAAGCAGGACGTTTGGACTAACTCGACGTTTGGACAACCCGCTTTTTAAGAGTCCAAAATCATAAAAATACATTGATAGAGCACAAAATTTAGTAGGGATATGAGTGAAGGGTATGGACTTGATACCCATTTCTTGTTCCATTTTTCCTGGAAATTAAGAGTAGATTTTGTGGTGTGGTTGCTTTCTTGTCTTGATGCAGTTCTAGTGATTGATCACATTGCGTTTTAAGAGAAGGTATTGGTATTTGAAAATTGGGTATAAAATACGTTTTTGATAGTATGCGGAGTTGATCTTAATATTTTTCTCCACTCTACTTTTAATTTGCTGTTATATGAAAAACCAGCAACAATCGTAAATCCCTTAGAAAATTTTTCTTTTTGTTCCTTGAACCATGTTTTAAGGTTTTATTTCTCCTCTTTGATGATAATAAATGGATCTCTTTTTTTTGGCAATCAATTAAGTACACCCAAGATTCCTCTATTGCGACATTAATTTCCATTTTTGTCTGGATCAATGTTTTTCATAAAAAATTCTGCTGCGCGTTCAGCGTTCGGCGATATATCCTGGAGAATGTTATGTTAGAGCACATTATGTTTTTTTTTTTTTTTTTTTTTTTTGCTTTTTAGTCCAAATGGAAAATTTGCCCTGAAGGACTATTAACTTCGTTTTGGCATTTTGCTTCGAAAACTTTGAAAGGCTGTATCACTTTTAAAATCGTTGCCACCATATATTATCATCCTCTCTTATATTTAAAGAAATTAAATAATGAAGATTATGCATAATGTATGTATGTTTCTCGCATTGTGATAAACAACGGTACCTAGAGCCATCAAAATTTGAACTATGTAATCTTCCATAGAATATGGCCATGTGGAAGCCCTAATTTGAATCTGAAATTTGTTTTAATATCGATTTCATAATTTGTATAACTTCAGCGAATTTTTGATTAAAAAAAAACTAAACGATTTCAAAGCGAGCAATGGCAACACTGTTCGAAAAAAAAGCATCTCCAGCGCGCGAGACTCTGTATCGGAAAATCTAACGATATGCTTATTTTAAAATTAATCTGCGATATTGCTGTTGAACTGAATTTTATAGTTTGAGTATGTAGAACATGATATTTAATAAATAAAGGTAACACACAAAACGTTAAAAAAAAAAAAAAAAAAAAAAAAAAAAAAAAAAAAAAGCTTCTTTGGACGCAATTTAAAATCTGAAGCCTTTCAGATTTGTCTTTTTTAAGATTGAAATCAGCATTAATCACTTTTTTCACGGGTGATACTGAGCATTTTAATGATTTTGCAATTGCCCCTTGAATTGGAGGATTTTCCTTTAACATTAAAGATCTTAATTTCTCAACATTCGACACATTCCGTTTTATTCTTGGATACGTATTTGGAACAATTTTTCCACATGAAGCTAAATTTTGACATTTATTTCCTTTCTTATTGACAAACATTACCTCTCGCAGCTTTAGACTATCGAAAGCCAATGCCTTTCACAACGTTTTTTAATAACTACACTGGTGTGCAAAAATTAAGGACGAAGTCGAAAAATTAGCATATCAGCTGAACGAAGAGGCAGAGCGGACAGAAAGACCAATCAGGAGATTAAGTAAGGTGATGTACGGTAGCACATGTGCAGATATGCAGGTAGACGTAATGGGGGAGTGTCTGAGTAGTATAAAGCATGTTGTCGGGTTGTGTAAGATCAGTATTTCTGGCCAAAGAGGATAGCACCGCCGTATAGCAGTTAAAATCACACCGAGTTGCTGCCTCAGCGAGAAATGGCGAATGATCAATCTGTTAGACGACATCTGGATGCTTTTACCCGAGGTCGAATCATTGGGAAGTTGGAGGAAGGCCGCAGTGTGACAAGTGTGGCTGCAGAGTTCGGAATTGCTCACAGCATCGTTTCACGACTTTGGAGACAATTTCAAACTACAGGAACAGCTATCCGGGGGTTTAGTAGTGGTCGTCCACGAGGAACCACACCCGCAGATGACCGGTATATTGCTTTACAGGTCAGAAGAAACAGGCGGCAGACAGCGGGAGAAATACCTAGACACACGACACAGGCGACTGGACGACCGATATCGCGTTTTACCGTGGCCAGAAGACTTCACGGTGGTGGTCTGTTTGCACGACGCCCTGTACGGTGTGTACCTCTAACGCCTGCCCATCGGAGAAGGCGTTCTCTGTGGTGCCGGGAACACCGGAATTGGAGAGAAGAGACAATGAATGGGGACGAGTACTCTTTACAGATGAGAGCAGATTCAGTCTGAGTAGCGATTCTCATCGCATACTCATCTGGAGAGAGCGGGGAAGCCGCAATCATTCCTCGAACATCATTGAAAGGGACAGGTATGGAGGTGGCGGTGTTCTCGTTTGGGGAGACATCATGCTTGGTAGTCGTACAGACCTTCACATCTTCGACGCAGGTTCAGTCAACGGGACCCTTTATTGTAACGAGATTCTTCTTCCATATGTGCGTCTTTTTAGAGGTGCTATGGGTCCGCAGTTCCTTTTCATGGACGACAATGCAGCATGGCATCGCACAGTAGCTGCCGAACAGCTCTTAGAGAGTGAGGATATTGAACGTATGGATTGGCCGGCACGATCTCCGGATCTGAATCCCATCGAGCATGTATGGGATTTTCTAGGCAGACGCTTTTCAGCTCGCACCTTACCACCAGTAACGATTCCGGAGCTTCGATTGGCGCTGCAAGACGAATGGGCAGCAATGCCTCAACAACTCATTGACACCCTCATTCTCAGCATGGGCAGACGCTGTGAAACCTGCCTAGCAGTCAGGGGAGATCATATCCCCTATTAAAGACCGGATGTTTCTTGCTGGACACCCATCACAGGGATGTTTCGGCCTTCAGTCGCATTGCGCTCCATGCTACTTTTTCAATAAAGCTTCTTTTTATCCCTCTGATTTCTCTTTTAGTAAGTGTTGCTTACATTACTCATGTCCTTACGTATTGGGGATCTTACGGTATTAAATGTGTTGATTTGGAAAGCTTTTGTACAAAGTTATATTGAAAAAACTGTCTCGTCCTTAATTTTTGCATACCAGTGTAGATGCAAATAATGTTCTTCGGAAAGAACACAGTCTGCCATCCATCTTTTCTTTTGTAAGGTTTATACTAAGTTTTTAACAGTTAGCTTTAGTTAAAGCTACTTTCCTGTCCTTCCGAATTTCAGCTTACAATTTCCTACCAGAATCTGCTTTTAGAATCGCGTTTAATGCAAATGAGTAAGAGTTGTATTTAAGTCGAAGTTCCACGGACTTCGGTGGAGAACCTCAGAGTTTCTGACTAGGGCGCGTTCGCCTTTCGGCTACGTCTCTAAGCTGTTAATACTTTCGGCCGTATTTCAGGCCTTTGATAGCTTCGCTAGCTTATTCGATATTTAGGAGACAACTACTTAGAATTTTGATAGCTTCGGCTATATCTTTTTAGTTAAGTCTTATTTCGTATTAATTTGAGTTCAAGCCCAAGTGGAGGCTTTGCTGTACGCGCTGAGAAAAGAGCCGTCTGTTAAATTCCTATTTTGAAAAATAAAGGGTAATTAACCCTTCTTGAGTTTATGTCTCTCTTCCTGAACTAAAGCGATTATTCGCTTAACTGTTCACGAGGTTCCTACACATTTAGCTGTTAGATAAAAGGGTGGGACCCCACATTTTAAAAGCGACATTTCTCATGAAAACAAAACTGTCAAGTAGCAGACGATAATTTATACTTTCAAATATATAGCTGCAGTTAAAAAAAATTTCCAAGCAAAAGTTTTTTTTTTTTTTTTTTTTTCACAGCAAATCAAAAGCGTCTAAAAAGTGTGCGAATAACTGCCTCTGTATAACACAGATTACTGTAGTAACAGCATATTAGAGCTGTTACTACAGTACTAAGCAACATGCTGTAACAGCATATTAGAGCTGTTACTACTATAAGTAATTTAAGGTCTTTAACATGAAAGCCTTGCTGTTTACGAAGTGACAAATTTAATAAAAGTTTTAGAGAATTAATGTATCCAGATGAGAAAATGTCTATTCAAATTCTTTCTCATTTGCGCGGATGCTTTCTGTTTCCAAACTGTTAATAGCGATAACAGAAGTAGAAACTAAAGAAAACTTACAAGTATAATTTTAATACTTGTTGTTTTACACGAAAGAAATGAATGAATTATATAAAAGCAATAAAAAGTTTATAAATACAGTAAATATTATTAATGAAAGCATTGAAAAATTTTCATCATTAAATAAGAATTGCATTTTAAAATATTGTAATCATTTTAAAACTATTCAATAAAATAATGCTTTAAATTTTTAAATCGAATTTTGCATATCTTTTTTCGAAAAAATTTAACAGACATAAGAAATTCCTTTAATGTACTACTTGTGTTATTTAACACTTTCTTTGTTAAAGTTTATCTTTGTACAATTGTTTATAAACTGTGCACCTGTGAACTTATACAATTTATAGCTAAAATGAATTCACTTATTACTTGTCAGTTTATTACATTTTGTCGTCTATCATAGTTATGTTTTACAAGTTTGCCTTAACGTTTTACTTTAAAAATTTTATTGAAAAGAATGAAAAATAAAATAGAAAACTTTTCATTCTTTAAAAAGCTATTACAAAGCATTATTACGAAATATATTGTTTACTTCTGCATCCTTCTTTGTTTCACGTCTACCTGAGAAATTGATTGTTTTATTCAAACAGTTAACGTTTTTCTTATTTACTCTTAGGTCAAAGAAGATGTCAGTTCGTATTGGCAGAAGGAGGTAAGTTTTTATTACATTAACATTATATCTACAATATTAGGTTATATAACGGATTCCACCAAGATATGTTTAACTTACATGCTAAGAAATTTTCTGTCGTTCGCCGTACTCTTTGAACAGAAACTCCTATGACTGTAATTTTATACCTAAGATAAATGTCTCATTTCATGGCATTCGTATTCGAACTTAACATTCAAGATTTTTTAGATAACAGACTATTCCATTCGAATCATCAACAAAACAGGCGTTGTTAAAGAAATTAATAATTAGCATCAGGAATCGATTTAATGTAAAAGCAAGTCTATAGCGCTATATTTCTTAAAGGTTTTAATGTTCGGAATTTTTCGCCGTGTCCTTTTTGTTACAAAACAGTCAATGGTACACTAAAATTTTATATCTCTGGAAAGTCTTATAGACAACGCTGTTCTCTGCATCGAAGGAGAACAGAAGTACCACAAAGGAATCTTTTTTTGTGTCAGTTGCAAATAAATAATAGTGGCCATTATTAAAGTTTTAATTTTAATACTAAAAACAATCAAGGATTTACATGACATGGACTTCAAAATGGTAAACTATAGGTTAAGCAAAATTTTATATTATAAAATAATTCCTCTTTCTCTGTAACAAAAATCAGATAAATGACATATTAATTTCCTTTTCCATGTCTTTGATACCAAAGAAGAAAGGCAATTCAGAATTCCTAATGCTTGCCAACAGCTCTTGTAAATGCTATTATAATTATGGCTGTTATAAGGCACCTACATATTGTTTAAATTTTTTTAGTTCAAATTAGCTTCCTCTGTCCACATTTTTCTAAAAAGCTTTCGTTTGATTAGAGCTAGATAAGTGTTTGTTGTGAGTTATTTCTGGTAATCTACTTTTCAGTCAAATTCCTTATACAGGAAACATTACAGACAACGGAATTTCAAAAAGCAATGCTAATTCAGACTTTTGTTCCTAATAATACGAAAAGATATGTAAGAAAACAGAGCTTTTACATTTTCATTAATTTAACTGATAAATCTTGAAAAACTGCTTTAAGATATGGGTAATAAAAAATTAAGTTGAGGACACGAGAATCAGTTACGTGTTTCGAACAAGTATAATGCTTACTATACCGTTATTCCTCCCTTCACACTCCATTTTAGTAATAACGGTAATGTACTCCTTTTTTAAGCTCTTATTTGTATTACGACTAGAGAAGAATATTTCACAAACCACACTACAAATGTAATCTCGCAATTGTCAAAAGTTGTATTTACTGTCAGCATATATATAAATAGTATTTAAAATAAACGTATTACGGTATTAAGGTAATGCTATATTGTAGTATTAAGGTAATGCTATGTAGCTCCACATGTTTCTCATTCATAATCACATTCAAATCTAACATTTAAGCCTGTTACTTAGGAAATATATTGAAATGTATATATATTTATGTATATATTATTCACTAATTTGTAGCAGTGTATATCCACTAGGTTTGAGTTTTAATTCCGCAATATAATATTGAATAGGTTATTTATGGTAGCGTATTTAGCAATGCCTGGCGCAATGTATGAATGTGTTATTTATTTTAGGTTACATCGGTAGTATAATATTGTATACAGTATTTAAAGCACTGCATATATAGCATGTTAAATAACAAATTGCAATACAGTAATATTATGGGTAATATTATGGGTATCGCTCATAATATGCTACAGAAATCATTATTGCGTATAGCTGTCCAAGGTAAAGTGTTAAAAGTGGTCGGAAGTAATAGGGATTGAAAAACATTGTTCATGACATCTACACAATGTCAAATTGCCCTTGGACACCAGTATGTTGACGGAAGGTTCTGCATACATATGCATATATATTTCCAGGGGGGCAAAGTTCTTGGCATTAACAAAATAACATAATAATATACGTACATAAATAAGCTGCATAAACAAAAGAATACAGAAGTAAAAGTTGCTCAGTTCGCATACTAATATCATTTAAACTCAGCTTTTCGACGAATTGCAGTGTACCACATAAAACGGTCTCTAACAATAATACCATTGCTGCATAATTGGCAGGCTGGGGTTGGCAGGATTGCGAACCAGTTGCTCCGCCAAGCAGTTATGTCTAGTAGCTAGTTGTAATGTCGCTACAACTATAGGACGATGCTAATCAGGGATATTGTCCTGGATAGTCTTCAGCCAACCTTTTGTAAAATTTCTACACACGAAGTCTTGATGGAACTTAGAGGCTGAAGTGTGTTTAATAATATGATTAGCAGCTGAAAAGAAATCTCATTATCTTTCCTCTTGGGTTGTTGCAAATAAATTCTAAGCATTTAAAGATGTAGCTGCGACATCAGAATCAATAGCCTGAACAGAGTCACAACGTTAAAGAAGTCAAATTTCTAATCAGAAGTTGCCGTAGAGCTGCCTTAATTGCAACATCAAAAGTAGTTTTAAATATAAAATAAGAATAATTCACAAAATACGCCCGCACCAACATTTCTTGAATCGACTGAACGTGATCCGTCTGTGTATACTCTAAGACAGTCAGGTTTCTGATAGATTCTGCATATATAGTATGTACTATCCCCTGATGAAGAACTAAATTATTTAAAAATAAGAGCCATTGACAGGGGCTTTTCACCCAATATTATTAATCAAGCAGTTAAAAAATTCTCATCTCAACACACCAAAAGCCAGACTTTTGTTTTAGGAGATTATAAAAATTATGTTGTCATTCCCTTCTTTCCATCAATTAGCTATAAAGTTGCACGTAATTTGCAGAAATTTAACTTTCGTGTCGTTTATTCTCCCATCAATAAAATTCCGAGTCCCATACTCAAGGACCCCATTCCGGGTATGAATTCCTGGGGTATTTACAGGATTCCTTGCCAGTGTGTATTAATTTACTTTGGCCAAACTAAGAGAGCCTTAAAATTTCGCGTTAAGGAACATGAGGCATATGTTAGAAAAAAGAAAACACAGAAATCTTCTGTTGCTCAACATTGTTGGTCCGAAAATCACACTTTCAAATTTTCTGCTGCCAACATTAATCAAAAAGCATCTTCCATTGGTGAACTGTATTTTCTAGAAGCATTTCACATTGAATAAAAAATCCTTCTGTTCTAGTTAACTAAATTCTAATCCATCTTTGCCTTCAGCCTTTAAAGAAACTATGTTTTAGTTCTGGTTTCATCAACAGATGCATCTTGCCTCCTGTCCAAGCGTTCTTATTTTATCTAATCATTATATTTTATCTCGTTCATTTGCGCTTTTGCAGCTGAGGCTGATGGTTCGGTAAAACCATCGAAACTAGTCCTGTGAAAATTTGAAAACATAACGCTGATTTTTGTTGTTTGCCTTCTAAATTAAGATTCTCCAAGTTGTCAACAACTGCCCACCGACTGTCCAGTTGGCGATTAAAAAATTTGTGTTTTGCGATATTTTATTTAAAAGGTTATGACAACACTTTGTATCTCTACGAAAAGTGTATTTTTCATTAGAGATATAGCTATCTGTATTACTACACTTATGTGTTTTAATTACGCAAAATTAAACTTTAGATTGATAATATTTTTACCTTTCTACATTGACACTAGTTCATCCAGAGACGGCAATATTAATGACGCAACACGTACATTTTTGTACGTTTTTTGATGTGATAAAATTAGTCTAAAATATACAACTAACATGTAGTTAAGCAGTAAGTTAATGATAAGAATAGTGTTGCATGGGGTGGAAAAACTCCTAGAATCGATTGTAGGACCATCATCATCTTCTGAAATGTATGGAATCTTTCTACACTATCACTGTTAATTTAAGACTAAAATTATTTTGTCTAATTTAAAATTTTTATGTAATGTGCTTTTCTTTCTTACAATTTAATAACGCGAAGATCTTTTATCAATTGTAATTCATTAATATGATGTTATATCTAAAAAAGAAATGAATGGTAGTTTATTAAGAAAGAGCGAAGCGTAGTCACTCTTTAAAACGTTACGCCCAAAACGCAATATATTCCCCCCCTCCCTTTCAGCTTTTGTGGCATGGCATTGTATCAGTTACAGACATTTTAGGTGGTACAGAAGTTATTGCATCGATGGGAACAATTGTATGAAGTGCACTCAAAATGATCAGACATATCGAGGTAAAAAAATATAATTTGCAATTCAAATAATATCAAATTAATTTCATCAATATAGGTCTTGATCTAAAGTTTCTGAAAAACAGATATGCGTATTCCTTCAATAGCGGTTATATTAAATATGCTTTCAATTAACCCTTCGGCGATTACGAGATTAAGCAATTCATTCTTTTCAAATGTGAGTAGTGATATCTGTCAGTCTTAAATTTGTAATGCGAGCTGTGTTCATTTGCGTCCATTGTGGTCCATAACTGGAATGCGAACTAAGGCAGCATGACCATTAAAATATTAATGTAATTTTCCCCTTGCCTATGCAATTACGTTAAAACATTTTATTTAGCTCTTATGTCATCATTCGAAATTTAAAAAAAATCGAGATTCAGAATCAGAATTTTATAAGCATTTAATGCAACAATTTAAAATTAAAACCCTGTGTGTAAGAGAAAAATTTGTAGAAAAATATGTCCAATGATTAGTGATATTAAGAGTGTTTTTACATTTGAATTCAACATGAATACTGAAAAAATAAGCACTTGTACGTACATGATTTTATATGATGTGTGTATAAATAGGTAGTACTTACGATTATGCTCCAATAACAAATAGAAGTTTCACGCTGAGTTTCTTAAAGTATGATTTGCAGTATTCTTAGTTATATCAAAACATGGCTCTTTTATTTTTAAACTCTATCGACCGTAAACTGCAACTATTAATTTCAGCAATATCAAACAAAATAATAATAAAAATTAGCTTATAACCGTTTCATTATTACTGCATGAATATATAGTGTTATTTAATCATACTCATTTCATTACTGTATTTGATATCAAAGGCAGGATCTGGTTTTTTGAGTCTTCAATATTTGCACTTTTATAGAAGTATACTATTCAGAAATTGATTCTTTAAGGCATCTTTATTTTCGTTACACCATATTATAATGTCTTTTGAGCCATTAAGATTTTTACTGATGCAGCATTTTGCAAACAAATGTTACAATGGGATTAACTTCTAAGCTGTTGATGCAAAATGTACAGGCCGTCAACTGATACCGAAGCCAGGCTCGTCACTAGGCATGCACATATCGAAACCTTGTAAGCTAAATAAGAAATTGAACACATATTTTATGTAGTGATATGCTCTTGTTTACTATATTTGTTATTGTGCTATTAATTTTCGAAATTTTAGAAGACATTATGAATCACCCTGTATATCTCTGTATGATTGCAGAAATGAATAGAAATTAATGAAATCTATACTTGTCATATTTCACAGCTTGCGTGCCTGCGCACCGTGTTTCGTCCAGCCACTACAAGTCCATGTTGAGCCGGACATGTGCGTCCTGGAATGTCATGCGGATGGATATCCGAGGCCAGAAGTCCGATGGGAAAAGTCCGGGAAACCGGTTGGACGATCCAGGAGAGTCCACATGATACGTTGTGGAGAAAAGTGAGTGTAGTATAATCAAGACCAATGCAAAAAAAAGGGGGGGGACGTGAATAATATATTTTTTAAATTCTACACTGCCTCTAACTGTACCTGAAGTGTAATTATTAGTTAGATTTTTTAGTAAGCACATCTTCGAATGACAAACTTTAAAATTTTCATAAACGAATTTTTAATTAAAAATATATTATAATGACGCAGAAATGAAAAAAAGTATTCTTTCAACAGGTGGCCTACCGGGCGCATATTTCACAAGTGCACATCTGTGTAGCTACCGAGGGAGTGGCTTCTAGGATGGACCAATGAGTATCCAGTAATATTTCTGTCATGTCACATGACCTTTCGCGTGCTTTAATATGGCTGCAAATATTTTGCCACGCCATTTCCTGTACAAAGTAACTAAAGCATCGTCGATTTCTTCTGAAAATTTTAAGCAGTTGTGAAGATTTCACTACCTTGTTGAAAGAATTTGAAATAAACGTTGGACACTCCGCAAAAATATCCATTACTTAATAAGTGGTAAATAACACGAAGAAATAAATATGTCATAAACATCTGAGCCAAAGTGCTATCTTTACATAAAATTATGCATAGGAGAAAAATATTTGCGTCAATTATATATTATGTAAATAGAAGTCAGCCCTTTTTATTGCAGTCTATATGAAAAAGATGTTCTATAATAATAGCCAATGCAGAATTTTATTCTGAATTAGCTATAAATTGGCGAATGCAATAAGTAAACTTTATTAATTTGTATTTGTATATATTTAATAAGTTAAATTTCACATTTAATAACTGCTCTCTTCTTAAATGTGCTGTCTACACAAGCAGTGTTCATCAAACAGAATGAATTTTTATTCACACGAATATATTTAATTTATTCAGATATAATATTAATACTACAATAGATATAATCGTGTTATATACAATATGTATTCTGCATCTTACACTTTCAAAATCAAAAGAATGCAAGCACTGAAATAAGAAAACACTAGATTCATTGTTAACACTTCCAGTCCTTCTCAGCTCAATTAAAAAAAAAAAAAAACTGTACTTGATTTCTATTAATCCACAGCTGTTAGTAAATGCATAATATTCGAGGCTAATTGTAGCTTGAGTCATTTTCTCGATTTAAAGAACGATAATACGCCGTGAACATCAATCCAAATATTAATGCGTGATAAAAATCGCGAAAGTGAAATGTCAGCGAATAATTAAAATCATAAAACGAAAGCACTACGATATTTTCTACTATTACGTCATACATTTATAACTACGAAGCAAACGCAAATTAAAACGTAATGCACGAAGTTCACATGCACGAAGATTTAGCGTCACAAGAGTAATAGAAGCTCATTGATCTATTTTCGAAACCCCTCCCTCGGTGGCTACGCTGATGTACACTTGTGAAATATACCTACCGGGCTGTATCTAATTCAAAAAGTGATCTTTTGGTCTTTGGTAATGAGTATGAATCACATGTTTTGTTCTTGATTAATTCCCTCTTTGGCCTTGTTTATATCTGGATGGTCCACCGCATCAGATGAATCTTGTTGATCTTGTTAGCGGTGCCCGCAATCAGACGACAGACTATCTGTGGGGTCATCTTAAACAAAAAATTGTACGAAATATGACAGAAGCAACATCTGCGATGCTGCTCTGTCACCTTCCTGAATTGCGGCTGCGATCTGCCAACTTTGGACACAAATTTCTGGCCATGTTGTGAGGCATGGAAGTATCTGTGTTGAATGAAAAATAGGGATGGCTGTCAGTGTTTTTTATATCTGATTCTAGTAGTAAAATGGCGACTATTAACAAAGGTGAAATACGACTGCTTCAATTGACCGATGCCTAACAGGATCGCTTGAACTTTTTTTTTATGTGTCTAAAGTACAATGACAGCCAGAAGATAACTAAGAAGAAGCTAAGTCCTCTTTAGGACCGCATCAGTACAATCTTCTGGTAATGCTATATAATTTAATACAATAACGTGGTATAGTAAATCCTCTGATAGTGGAGTAAAAGTAAATGTGTTTAACATTTTTATATTTAATTATTTATATTCTGCTACTTTTCATCTACCTTAGTACGGTAATATTATCAGTTTCTTTGATTTCGATCATGGTTCATGAGCGGTAGGCCGCTAGACGGTAGCGTCGGTCACAGGAGCGGTAGGTCACCTATTGTGAGAATACTGTAAAATAAATATATTTTTAAGAAATTATTAGAATTAAATTGAGTAATATTCGATTATGGCAATCAAGTTATTAAGTTATCAAAATATTAAGCAAACGCATATACTATTAAATATAAAAATTAGACAAAATATCGTTATCATAATGAGTAGTTAATATACCCAACAGGAATAAATATAGATTGCAACCCTAACAGTTTTTTGCTTATCAAGTCATGATCTTGTTATATCTCTCCAGATTAACCCTCTAAGCGGGAAGGCCGTATATATACGGCCTAGAATATTTTTTGTGATATCTGTAAAAACGTATATATGCGTGCATATTAAAATATGTCAAAGAAATCAAGGCAATATAACAAAAGTACACAAATCCAGGTATGAAATACCAGGATAGTTTTTACATTAAAATAAAAAAAATAATTCGTTCTCATAGTAGTTTTGGGAAATTTGTGCTTCCTTAGAGAAAACCCTGGCAGCTCAGAGGGTTTTAAATCGAATAATACTGTACTAATATTAAGATAGAAATCTTCTTCGTAAATATCAAAGTAAAAAACAAGAGAGATTTTTTAGAAATCTAGAAAATAACGTTCAGGAATTTTTTTAAAAAACGGAAATAAAAATATGCAGAGGAATGAAAGAAATATACAGATAAGCTTGTTAAATGAAAAGGACCTTATTTTTTCTATGATAAATACCTCACAAATACCAGATGTTAGTCAAATTCCGATAAAAATGTGATAAAAAGGAAAAAAAAAAACATTTCATGCATACCATACTAAACGAAAACAAATGACACATAACTGGCGGTAACAAAATTTACATACAATGAAAAACCTAAACAATTGCTCAATTAGTTTATTTTCTTTGGCCAATTTGCTAAGCCGACATTTTAATGCAAAAAGGCTCAAAAATAGTTTTTTTTTATTGCAAAGGCACTTAATAATACATCACTGGCCCTCATGCATCTTTGATACATGAGATTGGAGCAAGAAAAAAACTACACATATAGAATTACAAAAAGACGAAACAGTAATGAACCTCATTAAAATAACAAAAAGTGAATCGAAACCTGAAAAATGGAAAAACATATGACTACATTAAAAATTAAAACAATTTAGTCGCTGGATGTCAATTGCATCAACTCTCAGCCCGCCGATATCGAACATATAGGGATGGCTATCAGTGTTTTTTTATATCTGTGAACATATAGGGATGGCTATCATTCCTTCAACGAGGTATATTTTAGCAGAGGATCTTTATCCATCTCAATATTCTGGTTGCACAAAGTGCACAGAGATCTATCATATATACCAATGCGGTGCAAATATTTAGCGAGACCATCATGTCCGGTCTCCAAAAGGAACGCAGCAACTACGATGGATCTGAGAGAGACTGAGGTATTACAAATCGGCTCAAAAATAGTATAAAGTAAGTTTATTTTCGTTTAAAAATAACTTATTAAAAAGTTATTGATAACAGAATAATTTGGTAATATTATGGTTGTCTGTTGGATGGCAATGCAGTTTTATATCTTTTAATTAAGATACATAATGACACAAAACCTCACTAGTCAAGAAGCATTCTGTTTTGGGAATTTTTGTTTATGAGATGAAAAGAAACATTGCACTAATTAATAAAAATAGCAAGAAGTACCCTACGTTTAGAAGAAAATAAAGTGACAGAAGTGCTTTAATGAGGTTGGTTAATCAAACGTGGAAAAGGACTTGCCGTGCTTTATTTTGGCAGTGTTGAATACATGCATTCAAAATATTTCTAGTGCAGTTTTTTTTCCTTCTACTTTTTGCATTCCGTTACATCAGCCGCTAAGGCATTATTATAACGCACTGTTCTAGATATCTGGAATACACATGTCACACACACCCTTTTATATTATTCACCTTAGTTCTTCTATTTCGATGTAAGAAGTAATACGTTTGATTTTCGCTACGTTGTTACACGTTTTTTTTTCTTGAATTAGTAATACCAGAAGGTAAGAGAAATTTGCATATTCTTTTAATTACTTTTTGTGAATTAAAAAGTAGGTGAGATACAAAATGCCATGTTCTAAGAAAGGCTGTTTGTATTTTATGAAATAATTTAATGTCAGACCTTTCTGAAGCTCGAATATGTCTATACGTTACAAAGTGGCATTCTCCTGAAAAAGTGTGTTTGGATTTTATTTTATTGCAGTTGATGTTATTAAATTTCGAGCAATGCAATTTCAATTTATTCTTTGATTATATATTTAATACTGTGTTATTATGACTGCATAATTCTTCTTGCGTATGAGTTTAAGTGCATATATTTAATTTTTTTCAACGTAATTTAATCCTGTTATGTAATAAAGAAGCAAAATGGCAAAAAAAGATTAAGAACTACTGGATAGACTATTAAATGGATAAATGCCAAACCTGAGGTTAAAAAAAAAAGTTAATTTGTTTGAAAAAATAGCATTCATATTTTGGTTTTCAAATAACTTCGATGTAAATCCGTGCACACGTAATTAGTAGTTAGAAGGAATATTACAATATCATAAAAAATGAAGTCTTGAGTATACTTACAATATATTTTTTAACATTTTAATTCACATTTTTGGGAATCTCATAGATAATCTAAATAAAATAAGTTAATTACAGGCTAAATTACAGGTTTGTTATAGCACAGTATATGCCACAGTTATGAACATCTTCGTAAGATATTATTACATGCACAAAATTTTATTACATACAATTATTATATACACATATTTTATTACGAAATTATTACATAAACAAAAAGTTCTGTTTTTCTGTAACTATGAATATCCATGCATTTTATATTATTAATCAGATTTAACAATATTATAATGACCAACTTTTATTTTAAACATTTGAATAAGTAATGAATAAATGACTTGCTGTACAACTGAATTTATAATAACTTGCACCCCCAACTAACCTGATAATAACTTACACCTTTACAAAATTAGTTCCGTGTTGAGGCTAATCTCTAGAGTTAGGTGGTGAGAATGATGAAAAGCATGGAATGCAAAACAAATAAGGGTTAATAAAAATAAAATAAAGGATTTAAAGCAAAATCACTACAATCATGTACCAATAAATTACTACAATCTTTTCCATCAGACGTAGCATGACAGTGTATTTATTTATTTGTGCAATAATATTCTTGCTTATGATTGTGATTCTTAGTAAAATACTAATAATTCTAAATAATAATTCAGATCGTCCTTTTTGATTTTATTTGGAAAGAAATTCACATTTTGTGCTAATATTTGCAATTCCTAGTAAATTACTAATTAAATAGTTTAAAGTTTTTGTTCGAGAAGCTTTGTGTAAGGGCATCATTGTTGAAAGTAAACTGATAGTTTTTTATAGAAAAATTTCTTAGTCTTCAGAAAGTGCAGCTTTCGTTAAGCAAACTGAGGAGATGGTAAACTAAACTAACAGCTTTTTGCCGATCCCGACGGCTGCGAATGCCATTCGCTAAATTAAGAGAATAACACATGTTTTTCACACCTCCTACTAACACAGGTGTCGAGTTACGAAATTAGAAGCGCAGACGTAGGAATAAGTTATGCATTTGTTGTGTTTGAATTGTATGATGTCTTTTGCATACTCAGGTGCTTGCTACAGATCAAGATGCCTCAGAGGGAAGACGCAGGTCTCTACACCTGCACAGCCACCAACATCGTCGGAACAGCAACGACGCACGCCAAGGTATCCATTCCATGTAAGACACAATGTGTTTTCTGAAAACACTTATTTTATTTATTTATTTATTAATTTTTTTTTGTTGTTGTTTTGTCATATGTTGGCAATTTTAGCCACAATTAAGATATCGAAAGTACGCATAGAAATATTTTGACCTTACTGCACTTATACTATTGTTTACGTTAATATACTATTCTCAGTAGCTTTTGTTACTTGCATATGATCATGATAAGCTAATCAATGCATTTGAAGTAATCTTAGCTTTTCTATAATTCAAAAAACAGACTGTCTTTTAAAAACGTTCTTCGGCTTCTTTATGATGAAATTTCATATTTACCACAGAACTAAGCATACATTAATTTAAAAATAATTTTTTTTTTACATTTAGGCTTAATTTAAATATGCAGACGTAGAAAACATACGTTTTGATGGCTATAAATAAAATACGTCGCCTTAAAATGCCAGAAAGGAAATTAAAATATTCATTATAGTTGCAGAAGTCTTTGTCGAAGAACTTAAATAATTTAAACAAAAGGTAAAATTAAGTTCAAAATAGAAAATCCAAATTATGCGCTGTAAGCTGCATGAATCTTAGCTTTTCTATAATTCAGTGGCGATAACTATTAAAAATAGATTCAGTGGCAATAACTATTGAAAATAGATTAAGAAAATTCAGAATCATATTTAATTTGCATTAATGACATGGCAAGAAAATAGCAAAATTGCTATTGTAAACATTCACTGTAAAAAACAATCAAAAATATTAGGAAAACTGTTCCAAAATCTCCAGGCAATTCAACGAAACATCGTACATCTTTTTCGAATTTTTTTATGTGTTTAAAGAATGTTTGTATGAAATACCTTTTGCACTGTGTTGGACTGCCAAGAGATTTTGAAACAACTCTCTTGGTTTTGTTTGTTTTTTACCATGAGCGTTTACATTCCAATTTCTCTATTTTTGTGCCATGGAATTATTCCAAATTGAATATGATTTTGAATTTGCTTAGATTATTTTTTGATTTTATATAAATAGCATTTATCTTTAGATTCCTAAAATAAATGCATTAATTTTGGGCAGATGCAACAACAATTGAAGGAGATAGACAGTTAAATCTATTCCATTGAAAATCTGCTCAAGTTGAATCAGTTTTATACATTTTTTCCCTTTTTTTCCCCTCTATCTTAAAATTTATGATCAGGTATTGAGCTTTTTATTGTTCATTAAAGTTTTTTACAGTTTATTTTAGTTAGCTATTCTGACTGTACTTTGTACCAACACATATAAAGTCACAAAACCGCATCATCTTAATGGAACAAAATCAGTAAAGCGACCAGATTTACAGAATATTTAAGCCAAAATGTCCCTTTTGTTTTATATTTATGCAATGTTTTAATAATTTCAAATGTGTTTAGCTAACATTTGATTACGCTTGTTACAATTTTTTTTTCTGGTAATGACAGATAATAGAATTCCCATTTTATTGCTACTGCATTTTTTCTCTCTTTCTGAAAATTTTACATAGTAACACTTTTAAACACTTTTAACCTTCTGCTGCTTATAGTTCCATTAGTTCAGTGTGATTTATGTGATTCTTATTTAGGTATACCAAATATTATTCTCGTAATCCGTTATTCTCTTAATGCAATCGTAATTTTTTTATATTGGTTGTGAAAAGAAGCCACACAAACCTCGCTCTTGGATGAATAGATATTTGGATCAGATAATCTTTCAAAATGCGTACAATTTCTATTTAAAGCGAAACACAGTTTCAGATTGAATTGAAAGTAAACGGTTTTAATGTAATTAAATAAATGTCATGAAGTATATGAAATAAATATTACTTCAGTAATCAAGATTACAGTTAGAGATAACTAAATTAAACAAGAATAATCAAGAAAAAATTTAATTTTATTGTAATAATTAAAAAAAGGATTTCAGTTTGACATTAAAATTACTCATTTACTACAACTAATTTATTACAACATACAACTGTCACAAGTATAATGATAACGGATGCATATCAAACCTAACCGAAATTGTAACCTCGAAAAATAAATATAATCATATTTTATAAAAAAATGTAACTCTGTTGAAGATTAATTAATAATTACTTGCTTAGGGTCGCTTTCAATTAACGACTACACTATTCTTTTTGTAACAGTGTAATGCATTAATCTTTTTGTAACAATATCGTGCATATGTTTTTTTTTTAAAACAGAGGATGTAAATCTTTCTCAAATAAATAAAATACAATATTGCTTCGCAATATATGAATACAGTAGTTACAATTATGTAACATAGTTTAATTTAATTTTACTTACTTTTAAAAAGATTATCTGTAATGGCAAATTAATGATGAAATGTTAATTATGCTGCTGTTATCACTCGTTTGCTTACCTTGCTAATTCGAATGTGTTTTTCCTTCATGTTTTCAAATGATTGGAAGGAAATCACCCATTTATTTAAACAGTATCTAAAATGAGCTATCTTCACTGATTTCAGACGCTAAACTCATTATTGTTCTTCATCTTTCATTTCGAAAATAAAAATCATTCTCAGTTAACTGTATTAATTAGGTACATTTCTATTTATTTCAAGCCACATTTTACATTTCATATTCAATTATTTTCTTTAAAAAACCTTTCGACATTTAATCATTTCTTCAGCTGCTGATTATCTCTTCCAAACGATCCTAGTTACAAAATGGCAACATAGTGCCATACATTCTTTTATAAATTCTGATTAGTTATACTGCCTTTACGTAAATAATACATCTTGTGTTATCTTCATCTGCTAGCTTTAAAAATAAAAAAAATCGGTCAATTTTAATACTCATTATTTTCAAAAAAATGTTTGTTTTCTGAAAATTGCAACTTTTTAATTATGTTGTTTCGATTTTCGTTGATTGAAAAAATATGAATTGAATATGCTTATCAATTTGATTATCGAAACTCTTTTTAAAGACAAAAATTTCGGTCACAGTTTAAAAGTTGACCAAATCAATTCTCTTCACATATCTCTTTGGAATTTAAAGAGCGCTATTCTTTTTGCATAACGTTTTGAAAATTAAATGAATTTAAAACTAGATATTATTTTTATTTATGTTATGAAATATTTTACCTAAATACTTTATTTGTTTATACAATTATTCATCTGTTTCATTTTATATGTCAAATTAATTAACAGATTCTATTTTTTTGTACTTTTTTACGTTCTAAAAATATATCTGAAATTTGTTTATCAAGTAACTTATGCAGAGTGAATCGGCTTAATGAGAAGCAATTTACAAATATTCCTTCCTCTGCAAATTTCAGTATGATTCCTAATGTCATGAAAAATCAATTAAAATATCATTTATACTGAAATTAAGCTGATAAAAAATATAAAAGATCTTACGAATAGAAGTCTCAGGTGAATCCTTTTTCTCGACTGCATTTCATATTGCTCTAGAATGGCAATGAAGTACACATCTATATTAAAATTAGATGAACTTATATTTAAACAATACCTGCTAGCTGCTTTAACAAAATGCTAACAGAGTAAGATTTTCTATTACAGCACTTAATATGAAATATTGTTTCTATTTATGTGCATCCGAATAGGTTCTGCAGACATATAGGGAACTTCCGATTAACCGAAGTAATATCAAACTCGGTTAGCTCAAATTTCAAGGGCAATCAAGAAAACATAGGAAAGAGGAGTAAACCTTATTATAATTAACAGAAAAATACTATTAATAGTAATTAACAATGCAGGTAACCATTTATCTGCATTTTCAAGCAATTTAATCTCGAGTATTAATTCGTTTGGTTATGTATATAAAATGAGTTTAATAAAAAAATAAAAATAACCGGAAAACAATCATCATTAAAAATAAAGAAACAAACTTATAATTGACTTATAATTAAAACTTATTAAAGACTTAATATCTACAATCCCAAGCACTTTTCTTTCTTTCTGTTTAAATTTTCCCATGACAGTTTTGTTTTACACTGATGGTTTGTAATTGTACTTTCGCCATCGAAATTTTTTCTTGACTGGGCTTGGCTAGTCCACAACCCTGTTTATCCGTTCCTGATAAATCCTGAGTTGATTAAAAACCAATTATAAAAACATTGTTTCGATTTGTATGTTTTTATCTCATAATTATTGCCAAATATTAATATGATATTTAATGAACAATTATCAATTACATTTTTAGTTAATAATTAACTATATTATTAATTAATATGACCGTTAATTATTATATTAATAGTGGTTATTATTATGATCTAATGCCTTTTCACATGGACTATAGTGACAAATTTTATATTTATTAAGGCCATTTAGTCAATTATTTAATCAGCAAGGAAGAGTAAAGCAAATCGTCAGGGTCTGCTATTTCCTGCTCCGTATTAAGTAGCAAATGTTAAATCTCCATGGTAAACTAAAATTCTTTTAGCTTCATGTATTCAATACGTGGGAGATAGATATCGCAGCCCACAGAAAACGGATTTAAATAATTATGTCACATTGTTTTCATATAGTAGATTATTTTTATATGATAAAGGAGCTTATAAAATAAAGGACATACATAAAATACATAAAATAAAGAAGCTGATAAAATTTAGGAGATGTCGTAAAACTGAATGATTCGCACATATCACTCTGAAAAACTTTTAAATCTGAGAAAATGCAATTCTTCTTCATAATTCAGCCTATATCGATTTAAAATTTCTTGTTAGAAATTAACTGTTATCTATCATCTATTCTCATAAAAATTGGCTGTAAAATACGAATCAGACAACAAGAAACTACTGGTACTGTTTTTGTAAACTTAAACAAGCGGAGATAATAACTTCATTAATTAAGGGAACTGAAACTATGAAATTATAGAACTAAATCACGAGGTTACTGCAATCAAGTACGCTTTTTATCTTTCAATCTTTTTCTTTTCCCTTTTTTTTTTTTTTTTTTTTTTTGTCTAAAATGTCTAAGGAAAGTAGTTTCTTCACATTCATCGTTCGATTCCTAATCGTGAAAAAATATTGCTGATTTTTTTAAAATTTATTAAATTACATCACATACAAAATCATTGTATCACAAAAAGTCTCCTGAATATCAGTGTTCACATTTAGATTAAAGTATTAGTTAGGATTCATAGATAAATATTGTTATTACATATGATTAAACTAGTTCAACAACTGGAAAGAGTGAGATAAATTATAAGGCTTTAAATACTCAACAAAAGCCTATTATGTTAGTATTTGCAATAAAGGATATCCTGTTCTTGTACTCTAAACCTGTATAAAAATCTTATTCTTTTGTTATTTTCAGATTCTGATGCAAAAAAAGGCAACGTTTCTCTGAGATCACCGCTCAGTCCTGCTAAAATGTCTGGGGTTCGATCACGATCGAAGTCGAGGGAACGATCTACAGAATCTGTACCTGAAAATAAATTGTTTGTAGTTTCTTTAAGGTGCAGATCACAAAGTACTTCTCGTGATTTGCCCCAACGAAGTGAAACAGCATCCAAATCTAAGCTAAGCAACTTCACCAGCCATATATGGAAGAAAAATCGGCTACCACCAGAGCGAACGAAAGTTGAAATCGTCTTAAATGGTAACACGAAACTTCTTTCCAAATCCACAGATGACTGCAGAAAAACTAGGAGAGGCTTTTTGAATCGTGTGAAAATTACAGACATTTTCAATGGCCAGAAAGCTGATGATGTTCTCAATGAGCCTGTGACTCAAGCCACAAGGAAATCATCCGAAAAGAAATGTAAAAATATTGCAAAAGATAGTGTTAGGACTAATGGTAATGTTTGTAGCAGCCCTCCTGTTAATAATTTACCTAAAAAGGAGGGAATACTAAATGAGCAGAGCACAATGCAAGCTACAACTCGCGAAAGAATAATGTCGTATTTGAAACGATTAGAGACGTCTTCAGTGAAACCAAAAGGAATACCCAGAGAACGAAAATCTCATTCGATATGTGACACAAGATTAGAGACGAATGCCAAATTCCTCACAGAAGAGGAAGTTCCAATACATAGTACAAAGAGAAATGAAAATGTCTTTAAATTTGGTAAATTCCGAAGGCGAAAGAGTAGTGAAAGCAGTAAAAAATGTTCCACAGAAAATACAGAATGTGATAGTCTCGGAATATCATATCAGGAGCATAAAGTGTTAAATGCAGATTCAGTATTGACAACAATGTCTGTTAATGGAACAAATTTAAAAACAAATGATTCTTCTGATATTCATAGTAATGAACAACAAGAACTTAATAGTAGTCAAATGACCTATCAAATATCTCCTGATATGGCTGATGCCATTTTATCGAAAGAAGTAAATGATTTCCATCATTCAGAAATTAGTTCAATCAACAGACTTAGCCAAGTAGAGACTTTACCCACTGATTCCTTTTCAATAGAAACAAAACAAAAGTTTCAAAATTTAAATTCTAGAACAACTGAAATTAATTTAAACGATAGGCTTAATCAAGCAGAGAATGCATCAGTAGGTGACATTTTATCAGAAGCAAAAAGTGACTTTCAACGAATAAATTTCAAGATAACAGAAAATAGTTTAAACAATAGGCTTGACCAAACACAGAATGCATCAACTGAAGATATTTCATTAGCTCCAAGAAATGACTTTAAGCAAGTTAATTTCAATATAACCGAAACTAACTCAAACAATAGGCTTGGCGATGCAGGGAATAATACATCAGCCAATGCTGTTTCCTTGGAAGCAGAAAATGATGTCCAACAATTAAAATCTGATGTAGCTGAAATCTGTTTAAATGATAGGCTTGACGAAGAAAAGAATAGGTCACCTGACACAGATACTGAAACTGTATCTTATAAAACTATTGTGTGCAGTAATTTAGAACATGCTGAAATTCCAGAGATGACCATAAATAAAGAAAGGAAGGATGACACAGTAAAGGGTAAGATGATTTTAATCTTCGAGAGAATATTTTACATGCTATAACTACCTTAATTTTGAGTTATCTCTGCTTTTAATATAAGAAATTTTAATTTAAATTCAAATCCATACGAGCAATCAGTTAACATTTAAGATTAAATGAAAAATTATCCGCTATTATTTATGACAACTGATTTGTCATAAATTATTAGACAAATCATTAGATTATTAGACAAATCATTAGATCATAAATTATTAGATTTGTCATAAATTATATAGAAAGATATTATGGTTCAAAGTCATATTTTAACAAATGCAGTAGTTTATGTTCAAAAATTTTAGTCCAAGTTCAGAATTAATATTGCCAAAATTTATAACCTTTTATTATTTCATAGAAAAATGTTAAGTTTTATATTATTGATCTTTTATTATTTTATTATGATTATTGAGACACATTTAAAAATATTGGAAAAACTTTCTAATATTTTCTAAACTGTAGTACTGGGAAAATAGTATTAACATTCAAATATTGGAAACAGTTGGCCGTGCGCAGAACACCTTGTTGGGGTGAGACCACATGCTACTAAATTCTCTTTTGAAATACACCAAGCATGTGTACATTATACTACTGTGCGCTGAGCACACATTTTATTCTCGATTGGTATGCTCAAATACGATATAACACGCTTGGGTTTTCTGCCTAAGGAAAAGGAAACCTTCGTGGAGATTAAAAAACGTTTTACTCTCGAAAAGCACTGTGAAGAAAAATTAAGTTTTTTTTTCGAATGTGAAACGGGGAGAATTAGCTAGTCCCATACCATGAATCAAACCTCAGATCTTCTGATGCTTACAGGACTGCTATCGCTTATACCACAAGAGCAAATGCGGAAGAATGCCATAATTCTTTATTATTGAAGATGCTCGTTTATTTTAGCTGTTGTTAACTCTTCGTTCCACGGATTTTTAAAAATTTACACGGTTCAACTGCCTACTAAACTTTACCCATGTTTTCAAGACTTTCTTTGCCTGCAAAAAATATTATTTTTACATATTATTAATATTTCGAAATTTTTCTAAATTAAAAAAATTTTTGAAAATCTAAAGAAAGTTTACATTGGACTTGACACAAGAGTTACATATCAAGTCTCAGAGAAAATTATATAAGCTTATACAAAGTGAATAATTAAAAAATACCTTTTATACATTTGAAAATTTCATATCCTTGAAGGGAAAATTAATTTTAGTTTAAAAATTTTTAGTTTAAGCGATTCATTAGATTCATTAACATTTTTTCCATCTTCATCACTCAGTTTTCTTTTTTCGGGGGGGGGTTTTTTTTACTGGGTATTCTACTTATGTTAGACTCTTTTTTTTTTTTTTTTTTTTTTTTTTTGCATAGGCAGCATACATTTCTACTCGTTTAAAATAATATCCTCCCATTTTCCATTTTAACTCAAAAAAATTTTCCTGTTTCTTTCGCATGCGGAAGAATTGCTTCTTACGTACTTTTGGTTTTGATGAGGAATCTATTTTTGTTTGCAAATCTTTCAGTTCTATAATCTTGAATAATTTTTGCTGTCCGTAGCTTCAAAACAACATAGCTTTTCTTTGATTCGGGAGAAATCAGGTTGTTTACCGTCCAAATCCTGTAGGAATTTATAAAAAAGGCATATCTGTACTAGCCACAGCCGAGATAACCGCTTCATAAAACTTAAAATAAATTAATATTGGTAAAAGGAACTTGAAAAACATATTTGTAATACTTGACCTCACCGCAGTATTAGCAGCACTGAGTGGGAGCAAAATGACTGCAATAGCAATAATTAACACTAGAATTAATTTGATGAAGTTTTCATTTAACATTGCATTTTTACATTTCTATCGCCGCAAATGTAAATCATGTGAAATCTGTAAGGTCATCGTCACCAGTTCCACAAATATGGTTTTGAAGAAAACATGTTTTAATGGGCTCTGTTCGTAAATCTTCATGATTTCCATATTTATTCACGTAATGAATTAATTTAGTTCGTTGCAGATAATCTGATATTAGATGAGTGTTTGACTAGTGACGACACCACCCATTCTGCAGTCGCGAGTGGATTGAAGTTAGAAGATTACTGGAATATTGATTACGGAGCAGAAGATGCTGGAAAATTTTGAAGAATTACAAAATCACTTGATAATCCAAACACATCTTTATAACATCTTGATTACTCTATGACATGACACAGCCCAATAGGGACAATCTGAAACCCATAATTTTGATTATGATCCATTACATTTCTACCAATGAACAGAAGCAGCCAACTCAAGAGCTGTCCTTTAGCTAGCAAGCGTATGTAGCAAAAGAGAAGGCGTAGTTAGTTGCAGTATTGTTTGTAAGCTTGGAAATTCTTTGTTTTAATTCTGGATAGCGATTGAGCAAAAGTTTACGGCAATGCGGATACTGCAGAGAAATCGCAGATGACTGGAAGGGGTTGTGCTTTAATTGAAAATAAGTAATTTAAAGGTCTATTGCCAATTTTTCCAATTAAGTTTTAATTTGCTAATAAATTTATCTTCATATTTTGTTGCATCTTACCATCTTGCATATTCCCTCCCCCCTTCAAGGAGAAAACGGCTTGGCGAGAGTCGCGGTTATTTCAATCAGCAGCAGGTGAGAAAAAACGTATATACTAACTGTAGTCGTATTTATAAGCCGGAAAGTCATTCTGTTAAACCTGAGCACCGATTAGGCTAAAGATTTCTCTTTGCAGAGAAATTTCAGGGAAAAAATGACGTAACATGCTGCAAAGTTACGCAAAATGGTGCAAAGCGTATCTTTTGAAGCGGGGATGCGTTTAATTAAAATTTATGAATTTGAAGCTCTATTCTCAGTTGGTTCCAATTAAATTTAATAATTTTGTTTCATATTATATATTTTACATTCATATTATTTATTTTCAAGAAATTCTTCGGGATATTTTTTCTAGAGGAACTGCAGAAAAAGAAAGCATTTCTATTCGAATGCATTTGTAGATAAAGTGTGAAACTAGAAAGACTAAAAAATCTCCCGTCCTTCATTTATATATTATATTTATTTTCCCGTCGTCCCACCATTTATATTGATGGAAAAGTCGCAATATTTGCTAGGAAGAATTACGCTGTTTTGCTACTTTAATTGTTTGCTAAATGCATTTTTTTTAAAATCAATGCTGACTCACTATATATATATATACTTATAATGACAAAAACATAATAATCTTGATCGCGTAGACCGCAGATCTATATTGAAGAGGAAACTTGGCAGCCGATTAAGGCTAAATATTCAGTTTTATTTCAATTGAGATTTGCAGCCACAATTTACTTGATACTCTAATCGTTCCTATTCAGAAATATTTATATTTTTGATACTGTTACGATAGGAAGAGAGCACCTTAACAGGAAGAGAGGTAGAAGCTGAAGTGCTCAGTTATCCAATATGGCAGCCAATTAAGAGAAAGGTTTCAGTTCTCCAAATTTTGAGTTCCGATTCCAAATTAACTACGCCATTAACGTTATACAAGCAATGCGACATATATTGATCTAGAAATGAAGCAGTTCAGAGAAGTTATTGCTGTTTTTAGAATACCCAAATTAAAAATGAGGAAATAAAGGCTATTGATAAATTAACTTACAAAGCCGTTTTACTTATTTTTAACTTACATGTATGTATACACACACACATATATAATCTGAACGTAGTGTATAAAATCCTCGTATGCCCCTTGTTACTATGAATGCAATGGCGTGAAACATTAATTAAACTCGTTGAAAGGAAACGCTGAATGTGATTAATCAAATGCTGTTGAATTATTTTGTCCAGTGTCTGCCGGAAGTTATAAAAGAACACAAAGCATTCAAAAAATTCGCTGCCAGCTGATCAAAGAGCGCGAGCCGTCTCCAGATCTTATCTTGGCGATCCTTTCCGCACGTATTTCAGCAGTCATGTCCACAGTTCTCCGTTTACGTTTGGCCAGTCGAAGTGTAAACAAAGCATCTGTGCGTTGACAGCTTTCTTGCGGTAATTCTTTTAACAAGAATTTCGTCAAGTAGCAGCGCAGATTAGCATCTCAGTTTGGCGTCCTAACAGCTTTGGAAACATTCCATTTCCTAAAGGAACCAACAGACTTTCTAAGATCTTTGGCTGTTGATTTGACTGTAATTCCAGTGGTATGTTACATTTATTTTTTTAGGCATAAATGTTTAGAAAGAAATTGTTTCATTTTTCTCTGTTCTAAAATTCAGCTACTGAATTTATTTTAAATTAAGTTTAAATGAAACTGCTGCAATGAAATTTGAACCTAAATAATGAATTCTGTTATGACTGAATAGCTAAATAAGAAGTAATAATTATGTACTTTGGTACTACTTGAATTAAATAGATACTAATAAATAGACTGTCAAAAATTTACTCTATTCTGCAACACTTATATAACAATTACCACTGGAGGTGTGTGGAGATCCTATCTCCTGTTTCCTGGTAAACGTATAACTTACGTAATTAAATAATTTTTAGTTTTTAAATCACAATGGTATTTTTTTAAAATTTAATTAAATTAAATTTTAAAATATGTTATTTTAATTTTTAGGCAGCTGAAATTTCTAAAACTATTTAGTAGTGCAGTATAGTTTGCTGAATAAGGCTTATAATAATATGGAGAATTAATTTTCCTGTTTAAAGAATTTTAAATTCCCTGTTAAAGATATTATTCATTATTCACTATTAAACTCGCTATTAAAGAGTCATTATTAAAGATAAGCATTTAGAAAACTTTGCCCATATTTGTCGTTGTATACGATTTTCCAATGCATGTGTATTTAAACTCTGTTTCAGCTTTTACGCTGTGGTCTTTGCTAGTGTCATCACTCATTAGTATATTTTTCGCTTCTCGTACCCTTTTCATGCCATCCAATGCTCATGTGGATAACAGACTCTGGGAAGTAGAATTTCGTTTCTGGTTCATTTTCTGCCGAACGGATTATAAAAAATTAGCGTTATATTGAAGCTAGAATTTTCTATTGTTACCAGTTTCCCTTGGGTTGTGAAAAATGGTACGAGGATATTTGAATTTTTATTCCATAGTAAGGTCATAATGCGGGAGTTCCTTTATTTCTTCATAACTAGAGTTCTCTTTATGCTTGAAGAAGATGTGCGACGTAAATAAAATGTAATCATGAATAGAATCGACGAGGTATGTATTCCGTAAGTCAGTAGTCTCAAATTTCAAATTACATGAGGACCGAATACACGATCTAGAAACCTCTGACGGACCAGAGGTTTTTTTCTTCAACAAAATAAAAAATAAAAAAATATTTAATAAGAAATTCTAAATTTCGTTTGCTAAGTATTTGTCAAAGAATACATGAACAATAATAATAATAATATTTCAAGACAAAAGAAAATAAAATTTATATTTATTTTCTGCCTGAAATCTGAAGTTAGATACCTGCAAGTCATTTTTGTTCGTTACACATTGTAATTCAAATAGCCAAATGTTTAATTCTTACATGGACACTTCTTTTAAGGGGACGGTGGACATTAAAATAGCTAAAAATCAACCAAAATATTGATTTTTTTTTTTTACTCTCATAATATTCCATATGCGTAACTAAATCGTATGCAAAAAAATCGAGTTCAAATATTCTAATTTTTAAAGAAATTACGAGCATTTAAAATGTGTAAACAATGTTAACTTTGCCCCTTAAATTTTGAAGAAAATGTAAAAAAATGTATTTCAACAGTTATTTACTAATGTAATAAGTACATACTTGCCCAAAAGAAGTGTTTATTTCTAAAACGAAGGCTAGAAATATTAGTATTGACAACTATTAATGAATTTAACTTTAGTTATGCGAATGCTATACGCGTAGAACAGGAGGAAACAAACTCGTTTTCCCTACTTGTTGCAAAAACGCGAGATCAACGTCGCTTGAACCAAAGCAAAAAGAGAAGTTTACCTGCTTGGAAAAAACAGAAATAGTAAAAATATTCTAAAGCAATTAAAAGATAATGTAAATGTAACAAATAAAGATAAAACATATGATGCGAGTGAATTTTAAAAGTTTCATTGGATATAATGCATACATTGTTTCTACCTCTAACTTCGAATCACATACCAATTTGTGAGACGTTTATTTTTCTCATGTTTAATATTATGAGATTAAAAATAGTTAAATGATACGAAAGTGTTATCTAGTGTTTACATATTCATAGTTAATTTGCTGTTCTCGTGACCATGTATTAAAGGTAAATTTGAAGAAAAACTTTAAATTCGATTTTCACAAAAACAAATTTTTGGCAAAGTTCCTATGTCTTGAAAATGCTCCATGCGACTCATTTTTAGTTCAACATGAATGATATTTGGTAAAACCTATCTTGTTATATGTTACAGTAGAACTGTGTATGCATTTTTGGATATGAGGCTATTAAGAAGTTAAAACTTGTGATAATGTTTTACAAAAGGTGATATTTTTCCGAAAACTGGGTTTAATTCATAAATTTGCAATTTTGGATTGAGGATTAAAGTTTGAACTTGTGATAATGTTTAAGAAAGGTGACATTTTTCCAAAAACTGGGTTTAAGTTCATAAATTTTGCAATTTTGGATATGAGGCTATTAAGAAGTTTGAACTTGTGATAATGTTTAAGAAAGGTGACATTTTCCCCAAAACTGGGTTTAAGTTCATAAATTTTGCAATTTTGGATATGAGGCTATTAAGAAGTTTGAACTTGTGATAATGTTTAAGAAAGGTGACATTTTTCCCAAAACTGGGTTTAAGTTCATAAAAATCCTTTTTAAAACTTTCTGACCAATCATATTCAATAACGGATACACAGAAACTTTTGTCTAATCTTTATAACTAACTTTTCACCATTTGGAATTATTTAATTCCTGATAGTTAATCTAATGTATACAATGATATTAAGCTTGTACATTGTAGAGACATTAGGTATTTTTTGAAGCCAGGAGAGATGAAGAATGAACAATGCCCTCGTCGGGACTCGAACCACGGATCTCTCGAATACGCACCGAGTGTGCTGACCATTACAACACGAAGGCATGCTAAGAAGCGGGAGAAATACCTTATATACTCCCCTTTTAAAGGGCGTCTGGGGATTAGGGGACCCAATCGCCAAATCCTGGTGGTGAAGAATCATCATCCACCACCTTTTTTAGTTCGGCCGCCACTGTAGTGTTCCTTCCTTTTATCTAATAACTAAGTGTAGAGGAACCTAGTAAACAGCTAAGCGAATAACCGCTTAAGTTCAGTAACAGAAATGTAAAACTCACGAACGGTTAATTATCCTTTATTGCTCAAAATAAGGATTAATAGATGGCCCCTTTCTCAGGACGTACAACAAAGCCTCCACTTGAGCTTAAACTCACACTTATAAGAACTTAACTAATGACTAACTAAAAAGATTTAGCAGAAGCTAACACAATTTTAAGTAATTGGCCCCTAAATATCGAATTAGCTAGCGAAGCTATCAAGGGCTCGTAATACGGCCGAGCGTAGTAACAGCTTAGAGAGATGTGGCCAAAAGGCAAACGCACCCTAGTCAGAAACTCTGATGCTCTCTTCCGAAGTCAGTGGAATTTCGATTTAAATACCTCCTTCTCTCATTTGCGCGATTCTAAAAACACATTCTGGTAAGGAATTTGTGAGCTAAAATTAGGAGAGATAGGAAAGGAGCTTTAACTGAAAAATAACTGTTATAAACTTAGGATAAACCTTAGGATAAGTCTTCTTTTCGTCTATTCTTAGTCTGGCATGATTTTCAAAATTAATGAATATGTACGATTCCTTACATGGATAACAGACAGGTTATAACATAATTTTGATTTCCATTAAGCCCAGGGTTATCATTTAGACTCCAGGTATTAAGAGATTTCCAAACCGTGTGGAAATAACATTGTACTTTCCTCTCATAAGAACACTGTAAATACGAATCAGTTTTCTTTAGATAGTCCTCCATGAAGGCATCACCCCTTTAGACAAATAGCTCTCGTATACGTAAACAAATCAGCTTTTGATGCTGGCTCAAAATAATTGAAGTAAGAAATTTGCGGTTAACCATCCATCATTTAGTCCCATTTATTTGGAATAATCGGTATTCTACTGTAATGTGCTAGATGGAATTTTTGCCATAGGAAAACATGCAAAATGTTAGATTTTTCTCTATACAAAAACTTCCCCCACTTGTGTTCTTGTTTTCATAATGTTTTGTACCTTATTTTGTAAAGCTTCGAACTAGAATTATTATATATTTCAGGATCAAATTTTCGAAACTCAGTATACGAGAAAAAAAGAGTGACATGTTATGACCGGTATTATTCATTCTTTTTTTAATGGGAACATTTCATTAATATTTCAGATATTCAGAACAATGCTCCCGAATGTGAAGCACAAGAAGTAAGCGGTACCTTTCAAACATCTGCATCAATTCCTTCGATACGAGTACAAAAGGTAAGAAAATAATTGTATAAAAATATACGCAGAAGCTTACGTAATTTATTTCGCTTCATTACGCGAACATGTAATTCAAGTTAACATTGTAGCATTTATCCATCATCAAGGAACCAAATATGAGCAGGATTAAAATCTTATCGAATCGATGATCATTTAAATTATTAATGAGTTTAATGCAGGGGTTCTCAACCGGTGGTACGCAAGAGAAAAATAGATGAGGTGAAGAAAAATAGGCGTACCACTGAAAAAAAGAAAAATACGAGTACCACTGGTGGAACGCAAGAGAAAAATAGGTGGTTCGCAAAGAAGCAAAGCATTTTTAACTGTTAAATTCAAAAATTAAAACACACAATACTGATTGAGTTTTTTCTCTAACAATCGTAAATTTATGCGATTTGATATTTGTTCAAGAGTGGTGGTAATAGTACTCTGTAGTGGTGGTACTAAAGGTTTTCAGTTTTCGTTTAGATGGTACACATTAGTCAAAAGGTTAAGAACCGCTGGTTTAATGTATTGCTACCACAGTCAAAATGCTTGTTAAAAAAGGATTATCATTTATTAGTCCATAGGCGCAATTTTCCCAGAGGGAATACTAATTTCGTTTTGGCATTTTGCGTTGGTTCACTATAAATGTGGGTTCACTTTTCAAATTGTTGCCAACAAATATTAGAGCCCTGCATTATATTTAAAGAAATTAAATAATGAAGAATCTGCATAAATGTATGTATATGTCTCGCAGTGTGAAAAAACAACGGTACCTAAAGCAATCCAATTTTGAATAACGTAATCCTCCTGCGAATTTGGGCATCTGGAAGCCCAAATTTGAAATTTGTTTTATTATCGATTTCATATTTTGTAAAATTTTAACGAATTTTTGATGAACAAACTCAAGGATCTCAAAGCGAGCAACGGCAACGTTGTACAGAAAAAAAAAAAAAAAAAAAAAAAAAAAAAAAAAAAAAAAATCTCTTGCGCGCGAAACTGTGTATCGGAAATTCTAAAGATATCCTCATTTAAAAATTATTTTGCGATATTGCTGTTGAATTGAATTTTATGGTTTAAGTGCGAAGAATATGATATTTAACAATAAAAGTAACACTCAAAACGTTAAGAAAACGCCCCTTTGGGCGTAATGTAAAAGCTGAAAGCTTTCAGATTTTAATTTTTTTACATTACTATTATTTCTATTATTTATTATTATAAAATTATTACTATTGTCTGGTTATGTTGTTTAATAATTGATGAAAGCACAACATTCTTGTGAAACATTTAGTGTGCCTAAAGTGATGATGTTAAAATGAAGAAATTAAGAGTACTTCATATTGAAAAAGCATTTTGTGGGGGCTTCGGACTTCAGACAATGTCTATCTTATCACAGAAAATTGCTCGTGGGAAATATGTAATTCTAAACGTAATAATAATGTAATAAATATGTGATCATATAAATAAGAGTAACATATGTGCAGTTCATCCGTCTAGAACCGAGAAGCTTAGAAGGAAAGCTCAGAGGTGGGGGCAGTGATGATACTGCCTTTAACTACGCTCTTGGAGATGAGTGATTTGGAGATAAGGAAATTACGGATGCGTTTCTCAGTCTTTCTACAATTACGGAAAGCTTGACGTAATTATCATTGCTAAGGGAATCCTTGCACAAATGTTTATTTTGTCAGCCATATATTTACACGTGATTTGCTAGCCATGTAGCCAATTTCTTACAAGCTATTATAGAATTCCTTAAGGTTTTGTAGAAATTTAGTTCTGGGAAATCCCGTCTGAGAAACGTTGATTAGATTATACGAATGACAGAGGCTGCAAATCATCGATTAATATCTCATCGTTATTTATATCTCTCATATAACTAACCTGCAGTTTCTTTGCCTTCGTATCCCAGTATCAGATGTTAAAATTTATAGAATACTGTAGCTGATGTGAAAAGCATGAAATACGAAAATAGTTTTGATTATTTAAACTGAGGCACATTTTTTTCTATCATCCAGTTTTTCATTGCCATCAAAAATATATATGCCGACACACTACACTAAATCTGCATGCGAAAGCTAATTAAGGTTTAGAATAGTTTTGCAAGAGGTTTCATACTGTTTTTAGGTCATTTGTTAAAATGAACACTGAATAATATTTTTGCTTTATTTTTTAATTTTTATTAAAGGTGCTATGTAGATCTTCCGTGAAATTAAAGTTTCGCAAAGCGGGACGCGCTCATTATTATGAACTAATCAAATTTTGACTACAGGGAATTAATTAATTATGTACGCTTGTTGTGCTTTGGGCAATTCAAATACTAGTATATTTCCTAGCGGGATTTTTCCTCTAATTTGTAAGCTCCAAAATCTGAAAAAACGTTTAAAATACTCATATAAGTTTTCTGTTCTTCGATACGCTCAGAGAACGAGCTCCCCTAAATTTTAAAATAGATTCGTCTACGGAGTAATTGTTTACGCCTTTCTAACAAAAACAAACAATAGGAAACTATGTACGAATGTCACCGAAAACGTTTTATTTCTAACTGTTGAACTTTTTACCAGTCTCATGCAAGAACTGACCTAGATACAGCGAAGAATACAGCGAAGCCTTGAACACAGAGAAGCAAACATGAACTGACATTCGTTCTACGATTTCGATAAGTGAGCACATTCACTTTCGCTAATTATTTATAGGTCATTTGAGGCTTTAAGAATAGCAGAGACAACATTAAGAACTGGCGATTTTCGAGTTATAGGGAAGTAGAAATAAAGGTATCCTATTAGATATTGTAATGTTAACATTACATTGTGTTCTTATTGAAATGTAAGTTTCTTTTAAAGAAATAATGTTGTGATAGTTACCTGTTAGTTGACTACTTTTCATTTGTTATGTTCTTATTATAACCGCATTCTTCGAAAATCAAATTATTCGCATAATTTTCCCATCTCGAATTTCGGACGATAAAATTCTATCTTCTAAATTATTATTATTTTTACTAAAAAAGAGGTAGAAAATAAATGGTGAAATACGGTAAAAAGTTCCCTCAACTACGTTTATCCTTTTTTTCAAATGCGCTTCAAATTCCGACAAGCAGATTGTATGAAGTACTGAAGAATGACAAGCAGAATGAGACACTGAATTGGTACTTCAGAATCAGACAATTCAAGAATTTCCAGTGTCAGTTATTGAGTGTGATAGCGGGAATAAATTGATAACTCATAATCCGTTTGCAAATAATAAGAATGACAGTAGTTCCGTTTCTCTTGCAATTTGGCCATTTTTTTATCACTGAGAGGGGATTTTGCTAATATTTCAGAAAATTGTATAGATTGTGATTATAGGATCAGTTAGCACTGTGATTAAGGAATAATGGGTACGGAGTGACAGATGTAAAATTTTTTTACCTGGAAGCCAGCCGGTTGCCGAGTGGATAAGACTGCACAACATTGATGATTGTATCCGAGTTCAAATCCTTTTGACCAATCCTGTCTGAACGGAATTTCATTGTTTTCCTCCATGTGTGACGTAACTAGGAGCTAATTTTCCTTAGGAAATCCTATATAAAAGAGCTTTCTCTCTAACTTCAGGCAGATTAGTTGTAGTGTGCTTCGCCATAATCGAATAACCTGGCATAACCCATTTCCCTGAATGTTTCAGAGTAAATGGCCAGCTAAATATCGTTTGGTCACCACAACAGTCCTAATGGTGGCCCACGACCATCCTCGATTTCAATTTAAAAATAGTTTATCACAGGCAGGCCTTCCCATCACGACAATTTTCTCTCTGTGATACGTTTACTAAAATTATGAATAAATTAAATTTTCATACGGACCCTGTAGAAAAGGTGACGATAGGAATGTTTCTCACAGCTGAAGTAATAAAACAAAAATTTTTCATTCTCATAGAATCTACATGAGGTATCTGTAATTACATTTTGTAGGAATTGCTAACAGATATTGCTAAAGCCAGCTACATATGTGACACTGTCGAATACAAATTTCTACAAGACTGCTTTGTAAGGCCTTTTTTTACTGCCTTAACGCGGGCCTTCGTTGTGTAACTGGAAAGCACGTCAGCTTACAGTCGAAAGCTCCGGAGTCCCAGCGAAGGTCTCCTACATTTTCCTCGTCTCCTGTCTCGACAAGCATAGTGATTATACACCTTTACATCAGGTTAAAATAAACACAGAAGAAAATATTTAACATCCAATGTTATAGTTTAAAATTTTATATTTCAAGTACTATTTTATATTTCATTTACAATAGGTGATCTAAAAGATCGGCACCTTTTTATCTGATGAAAGTAATTAAAGTCATATTATTTTCATAATATTTTTCAGTACCAAGTTTGCTTGTTAAAGGTCTCTTCCCAAGCACTCCGAGCTAAAAGGATTTAAGTATTAAAAAATACTTTATTCACAGGACGATCATGAAAAAATTAAAATGGTTTATCCTCCCTAAAAAGTATCACGTGACCAAAATTTTCGGTAGTCTGAAAGTTAGCGCATTTGGTTCATTTTTTTAAACTGGAACTATAGGTCTATCATCATCCATTCAAGAGCGTATTCATTATTTAACCGTACAATGTTTTGAAACTGTTTGTGTATGTGCGCAACTTTTGTATTGCATAATAGAAAATTTCAAGCATAGCAAACATGCAGATCGTAGCTAATATGTAGAATCTTTTAGAATTTTTCAGTCAGGAAATTGAAGAAATCCGCAATGCACTCAACTTGGGACCTCCCGAATACGCGTCGAGGCATACGAAAAGGAGGGAGAAAATACCGTATATAAGCGGCATGCTTCCTGGTAACACTTTTAAAGACATAATGACAAAATTTTGGTGATCCATGATCTAGCAGAAATTTTGGTGTTAACACTGGCGAATTTTGAAAGTTAAATCGCTCCATTTGATAAAAGCTGACATTTCTTTTTTCCCCTGAAGAGATCTGCCGATAGAATTCCTTAGATGTTTAGTAATGAAAGGACAGAATAACAATATTAATGGTGATATGG